CTGGAAATAATGTAGAAGTAACTTGAAAAAGGTAGAAGTAACTGGAAATAAGGTAGAATACAAGGTACGAGTACTTCCTCTGGTTTCAAGTTACTTCACGTGGTACAAATTACAATCAGGGATTGGCTGAATACCTCATGAATAATTAATGCGTTTTTGAAAGTTTGTTATTATAATCCGCACCCTTTTAAATACAAATGCACTCCTTAAAAGTCTTCTTTTATTGCTGCAATTGTTATTATATCGACTTCTTGATTGTCTAAACTTGCGCTTCTGAACCTACATTCGATATGACTCTCATTCGTGAATTACGGAAAGACTATTTGTGCTATTGTGGAATCTAAATTTCATGAGGAATCCTTAGATGATTTGATCAATAGAGTACAAACTCTAAGTGTGCAACCTATACACCTATTTCAAAAAACGTTGTCGTCACCATGACACAGTCCACAGTCTTAAGCCTGCAAAGAATCTCGGGGTTTCCATGATGCGTAATTAATATATTTCAAATATATTGTGGTTTGAATTCAATGGCGGCAAACACTATTAATTACTTTTTCGGGCGTTATACCCATCGAACAAGTATCGCCATGAGACGTTTTCCTTGAAAAATATTCCACGTTTTCAAACCGTCGATGAGTTTTAAAGCTATATTCTTTACGAGACCGAGAATAATCCAGTTTCGAAATCTCCAATGCTCTGAGTCAGACTCATTTGTGCGTAAAATATTACTCGAGTAATTGTGAGAATAAAAGTGTGAGATCGATTCTATTGTCTCTCTTTTCAAATTTCATGCGTTTTCTGGGGCTATCAATGAAACAAAAGAATATGTTGCTTGGTTTTGAGGCTAACACAGAGCAAACTAGAACTCTAAGTCGGAGTTTTTTGAATAACTGAAATTGAATATATAATTATATATGGCAATCCCAAGATTCTTTGCAGGCTTAAGACCGTGGACTGTGTCCTGGCGACGACAACGTTTTTTGAAATAGGTGTATATGGTTCTTGTTCGTTTTATCCACACTGATGCGTTTTCGGGCAACACTTACGATAGCGCTACGAATTGAAACTCATCTGCTTTACGGGTCCATCGGTTGTTACACTTTTGAGATATATGATATCTGAACTTCATGACAAACTTTAACGTTAAGATACAGCAGTTATGATNGTCCTGTATTCCATGCATTGTTCCGTTTAGATTGTTGACCGATGACATCTTGAAAATTATCTGTAATAGCGCATTAGTTTAGACAATATTTCTGCTTTAAGGGTTTAAAAAGGAATCGAGGAAAACTGATCCGTGTATCCTAGTTTATTTTTTTTTTAGTCCAATCGGATATCAAACCTTGAAYGCCTCTTTGAGTTGAATTGGGATAGTGCCTCTTTTCCAAGATTCCCCTTGAAATCCTTGGATTGACCAAATATGCTGATCTCCGCTTGTCAGTCCAATGTAAACATCAATTTGAGATGAACCGTTGGATGGCAGACGATACAAAAAGCCAACACAAAGACTAATGCGTTTGAAAACTTCCTTCCATGGAAGAAGGGGGGACTGAAGATACTTTACACCATTACAGAAACATGCTTTTGGGCARTTTTTGTCTACTAGGGATTAAAATATGAAGCATGATAGACAAGAGAAATGAAAAGATTCTGAATTTGGTTAGTTATTTTTGTCGCAAGAGTGTAAGAGCATCTTTTACCTTTGATGGAAGTGCTATTTGTCACATTTTCATTGTTTCCATATACTTTCCATTTGGCCAAACAAAGCTGATCAGGAGAATCCATAAACGCACAGCTGTATACTATCGACTCTGATCAAATCAAGAAGTCAATGAAAGAGTATCACAAGACGAAATTATGGTCCGAAATTGGGAGAATACATGTGTAAGTGGATGTCGCATTAAAAAAAAATACACGTTCACTGGAAAAAATCGCGCGGCATAAAGGTTGTAAATTTGATGTATATATGATGCAAGTGTCCAAAATGATGGAAATTTGATGGAAATGATTTACATCAAATTTACATCATTTTGGACACTTACATCATATATACATCAAATTTACAACCTTTAAAGCGCGCGATTTTTTCCAGTGGTTCAACGGTCAATTTTGATACAAACMCATTTCACGATGTAGGCTATATGCGCTGTACTAACGACAGGTATCACATTTGCTTGATTTATATCCCCTCAAGAAAACTGGATAAATAAACGAGCGCCTCTAGAAATACCCTGGGCAAATCTAAAGTATTTTTTAAATATTATGATCTCTTAAATGGCCAGCAGTTAACTTTACCTGACAGTTGAACTCTCTCAACAATTGTACGCCATTTCATCCATCGTTGATCTCCATTTAGATAGTAGCTGACCTGTTGAATMACAAAAATTCTGATTACGTATAATATCTATAACCTTTCCGAGAGCTTTTGACAAAACGGACAACCAAACCACTGGACGGTGTATAACATGAAAACATTTGTAATAGGTTTTTCCCCCCACCCCACMCCAAAGAAAGTGACTTTGGAATGCTGACAAAGTAGTGAAAAAATGTACGAATTCTCATTCACACTTTTCCCTGGGGCTTCCTCCTAAACCGGACTCCTAAAAAGAAGTATTTAACGTATCCCCTTCCCCCCCCCCCCCCCCCAAAAAAAAAAATTGCCAAATATACCTTAATAGAGTAGTTTCCTGGCTGTTGAATAACATCAGTGGTGTAATTGAATTGGTATTCGATACAGTCCATTTGCAAGCTACTGTTCACCAAAATCTTCTGTCCGAAAGCGTGCAATGACAGAGTCAATGGGCATGATGGACATATCAGTCCAACACAACAAAACTTATACAAAGCTGTAAAAAAAAGTCGTCATAACGTTATATCACGGTTTCATTGTGCTGTGTGTTGCGAGCATTTGTGGTTGTTTTGTTTTGTTTTAATTTTTGTTTTGTTTTTTGTTTTACCTTTTATTGAGAATTGGGAGCCAAGTTTTATTTGAGAKCTTATRTTGSGGGTCAAATTAAAATGAAGCTTCCTTGATCCTGAAAGGAACAAAGGAAAAATGAAAAACATAGGAAATTAAGAAATTCAACGACAAACAATCTCTCAGTACGTGGTAATGCATTTGTAATTGATCCCTTACCTGGTYTGTTCCAGTACAAGAAATCAGATGGTATTGGAGCAGACCAAACATTGTCACCATCAGATTTTATCGCGATGTTTGTGAACTTTGTCACACCTGTTTGTGATGGCAGACTSGTGTAAACTTCGAGATGGTACAGATGACATGTAATAAGTAGGGTTTTGCTTTGATCGGGACTTCTGTGTAAGGAATTAAACAAATAATCATAATATATTAAGAATATGAGAGGCGATTAGCGATTAGTAAGTATTCAGGAGCAATAAATTCTTTCTGTTAATCATTCGCCAACTGATTCGCCATCCCGCGCTACGAAAAATTCTACTGATTTACGATAACTACACGCATTTGCAGAACACAGTAAGCTATTTGTCCTTCCTATAGTTTGTATGAACACATCAATATGTACTAGAAACTTCAAAATAGCTGGTAGATCATCGGTAGTACAAATCCGATGGGCGTGGGTTCGAATCCCTGCATTGTCGGAAATTATTTTTTTGGGAATTTATTTTCAAGGGTCTTTCTCCCGTAATATCATGTATCGCATAGTGCCATGAGGTCCTTGCATTTATATGATTGACAAATAGTTCAATTTTATGAGACGTCTAAGTTGCGATTTTTGTTGCTTGAGTCTCCTAAAGCAAATATAGGATACCTGCCCATTTTTGCAGAAGAATAGATGTAGGTTTGCTAGCTAGACATCGTATATGCAGAAGCGAATAAGAGTTGCTATATCACTTACTGCTCGTATTGGTTTGCTTTCAAGGCTGTTTTTGTCTTAATAATCATGTCTGTTTGTGTTCCTTCATCATCAAGCCCTTGTTCTGCAACCCTCTTCCACCATACTTCACNTAAGTATTCAGGAGCAATAAATTCTTTCTGTTAATCATTCGCCAACTGATTCGCCATCCCGCGCTACGAAAAATTCTACTGATTTACGATAACTACACGCATTTGCAGAACACAGTAAGCTATTTGTCCTTCCTATAGTTTGTATGAACACATCAATATGTACTAGAAACTTCAAAATAGCTGGTAGATCATCGGTAGTACAAATCCGATGGGCGTGGGTTCGAATCCCTGCATTGTCGGAAATTATTTTTTTGGGAATTTATTTTCAAGGGTCTTTCTCCCGTAATATCATGTATCGCATAGTGCCATGAGGTCCTTGCATTTATATGATTGACAAATAGTTCAATTTTATGAGACGTCTAAGTTGCGATTTTTGTTGCTTGAGTCTCCTAAAGCAAATATAGGATACCTGCCCATTTTTGCAGAAGAATAGATSTAGGTTTGCTAGCTAGACATCGTATATGCAGAAGCGAATAAGAGTTGCTATATCACTTACTGCTCGTATTGGTTTGCTTTCAAGGCTGTTTTTGTCTTAATAATCATGTCTGTTTGTGTTCCTTCATCATCAAGCCCTTGTTCTGCAACCCTCTTCCACCATACTTCACACCCATCTTTACACGCAGCTCCAACGGAATATGACCCTGGAGTTTTCACCTAAGTAATTATTAGAATTTTACTTTGTTTTAGTGTATTTCGCTACGTTTTTGTGAATTTGAAACTGCTTTTCCTAAACAGCCCTGAGTTCTTTCTTCCGCCGATACAGCAGCTGCAGCATTCCTTTTTTTAGTAATACCATCATCACGTCTACCCTGGTTCAAAAGGCTTGTCTTTCATTCATTTTCCTTTTAATATATTAAAATATATTTTATCGAGCCGCGAGACGTTTCCGTTTTTTACGCCAAGCCTCTGGTCTCAAGCGTAGACAATCTCACTTTCATGCTATATTTTAGCGAACCAATCACAGGTCGGAGTTTTTTAGCTGTCAAACATGTCAAATAAGCGAAAAAAACATAAACTAAAAAATAAATAAACGAATAAAAATKTCTTGAGTCTTCCCTGAGAATACCCAGGATCTGCCCTTCAACTGACCAACAACTGGTTTGTATGTGCAATCAATCTCTGAATTGCTCGGTTGGGACATTGCGACGACAATATCAAGATAACGAACAATGAATTCCGCATAGTCGAGCACATAGCATGTTATATAATTAGTACAAATAACACAAGTCTCCAAGTTGACACTATCATCTGCATCTAAAGTTTTCCTTTGTAACATGAAAAGATTCATTTAGCATAGATTCTAGATGAATATCAGAAATCATTCATAAACCAAACTATTTGAAGCCAGCTGAGTCCTTCTATCATTTAATAAAATCACTGATTTTATGTGAAATGTTATTCAGGACCCGTGAGAGACATTGTAGCTTGTAATTTTTTTTYCAATCAACCACAATTATTGAATGATACTTGCCATTAGATATGCAGATAGTTTTATGCACAGATGTGTGGATACTCTGAATTGAACATCAAATGTTGGTTGAATATGAAAATTGTTCGGCTCAGTCTGAAATAATGATGAAAGCTTCCAACTTGAGTCATGCCTTGACAAGACTTTGTCTGTCCAAATTTGATAGGAARCTCCGTGAACATGGTTAGGATCTAAATAACAAAATATGATATAATAAAKATAAAACATTTTACAAACGTTACAGTGTCTCCCTTTTGAGTCATCTACCTCTCTCAAAGTCGAAACTCAGTCCCTTAAAAATCCCAACTGGCAAGGCGAACCAGTTAGCTATATTTAAAAGCATTTTTTTTAAATTATTAGGGGATATCATGAATAATAACAAGGAAAAACTTTAAAGATGGTTGACATTCTTCAAAGTTTTATGGTATTATAAACTCTAGAAATTTGAATTGCTGTAAGTGGAATGCCTTCATAAATAATGTTTTGAAGGTTATTTMCTGTATTGACCGACAAGGCTAAAAAGTTATATGATAGTTATATGATATTTGCGGCTCGACAAAATGGATGCGCAAGATAAACTGACAAAGCAGGAGCATGCGCAGGAGCTTCATGARGGGTGGTTTCCAACTTATTTTTGCGATCGACTTGGTGTAAAATCGCACGAGTATTGGTTTTGATTCACACCAAAAAAACCGTCTCACATTATCTGAGAATGTKTTAACTATTAATATAGCAAATAAGTCCTAAGGCCATGCTCTCGTTCGGACATGTAAATTGAACTAGACGCTCTAGAGAGCGCTTGCATGAGCTTCCTGTAACAATGCTAATTATGCCTGGACGTCATGTGTGCTACACCATCTCAAAAACATCCAGCTGCAAGGTGAAATGATTAACTAGCATATAGAGTTAATGAATATTGCAAAATATGTTTGGAGACAATTTTGTACTTCTGATGGTGTACATGATATTTCATCAGACGTCTGCTTTTATTAACATGTTTGCACAACACTAACCTGGTGGCAAACAATTCACCTTGAAATCATAGATGTAAGCATACCAAMCATTTCGATCATAATAACAATCAAACAATGATTTTTCGTTGCCACGGCAGCTTCTCAACAGCATTGTACCTCCCTTCCATGTATGCTTCTCGTAGAAGCCAAATAGACCGGGAGAATACGTTTCATTATAACCGGCCATTTTGCATGCAACCTTTGCATATGTTGTAAACTGAGTCCACGTCAGTCTTTGATTATARACTTTTACTTCTAGCGGTGGGAGAAGAAAAATTAGCGGCGGAATAGGTTTGGATAGGTTTCCTGGAGGAGGCTTTATTAATATTTGCYCCATGAGATTAACATAACCTTGACCAGGGACAGTAGATCCAGAAATGACAGYACCTTTAAAAAGAATGAATAAGCAAAGTGTAATCACTACTTATACTATGTATGGTCATTTTCCATAAKTGTGTCCAAAAGATTGAATGGTAAACAAGCGATTCACCGTCAGTTTTTATTGAAATATGTTAAAATTATTCATTATAAAAATCCATGCCATGTGAAACCAGCGGCGTCTTTTAAAGGCAAGAAATTCGATATWGGAACCTGTTTTACAATAACAGAGCTAGCAAACTACCTCATTATAATACTCAATTAAAATGTGTTATTTCTTATTTTGTCAACGATTGTGGTTTTATTTTATCAAAAAAGATCAYAATATTTTCGATTCCGTATCGTTTTATGTGGTTAGCAATAAGGTTTTCACAAAACCACTTATTCCATTGACAAACGTTTTGRAACCTTCAAAGACGCATTCAAAAACAAATTTGCTGAAGTGSCCCGATACACGCGTAAACTAAGCATTAGGAATAAATAGGRAAAATATTTTKTACTCGTTTGAATGATTATGAAAAGAAAGAGTTACCAAAATGAAACTCAATAGCTCGAGAGGAGGGCGACGATCATGCAAATAAACCTAATTCTAGGGATCTCTTTGACACTGTGTTAGCCTCAAAACCATACCGTAATGTATTCTTTTATACAGTAACAACCTGTGCACATGCAAGAGATCTGTGAGTATAGAAGACAAAGAAGATTATTTGAAATCTCGCAAGTTTTCYYTAAATTTCTGCATATTTCACACAMAATTGAGGCTAACACAGAGTGCATGAAAGAGATTGCCAAACTAAAATATTCTTTTAAAAAGCTGAGAAAACATTTCGAATTGATAATTAGGGATAATGAGATTATATAATGCAAACAATGAACATATGACAGCAAACGTACCGAAAAAACAAATATGAAGTATCAATAGGAAATTATTAGAATACTTATTTTTCGCATTTTATGAAAGAATAAAGACTTCTACACTCGAGAAAAAAAACACTATAACGGCCGCACATGTCTAAAAGGATTCAGCAGATTTAATCTCCCATAGCACTGTTATCCATTTATGCTATGAAACAGACGGCAAATCTTATTAAAGGAATGGCAATTRCGAAAATCGCTCAAAACTGGAAAATAATTACATCAAGTTTTCTTAACTTATTAAGTAGTGAATACGAGAAATTTACATTAAGAAAGATTCTGCATTTTCAGCTTCTTATCACAGAAAAATTTGTGAATTTAGGGTTGGCTGAGTAACTTACTCACAATTTGACTCAGTGTTCTATATATAATTCTAATTAACGTGTTGCGGTTCTTGAAGTAAGTAGCGATAGCGAAACCTCCAATCACTTTTAAAGTCATTGTAAATTTTCATTAATTTTCATCATGGTCCCCCTTTTAACCGGATGAAGCTGACAGTGGGAAACTCTTTTATGTCATTTTCAATTATATGGATTCAAAATGTGTTCAATTAAGGGTTTAGTTGGTTAAAATAGAAAATTTGATCGTGCGACGCCGCAAAATCGTGTCACAAGAAAACCATTTCKTATTTGACATCCATTTATCCAATAGGAGAGTTAGAAGAATAGTAATGGTTTGTTCAGTAATTTCTTCTAAGCTTTCTAGAGGAATAACGTATGTTGATACTSATTGAGAGATTTTTTAGAATTAAAGTTAACAATGTTAAATAAACATGTTAGTTTTTCGTCGACTAGAAAGGATTTTTACATTTTGGCCGAAACAGACGATAAAACCGATTGAATGAAATAAAGCACTACGCCGAATCTCGCTTTTTATGGTCTTCAATATCGCTTTTCATCTATGTGGAGATCAATTATGGATTGTATAATTGATTTTAGATTTTTATCATATATATTTTTTTATGTTTTTTTTCATTTTCTTTCTGTATTTATTTTTTTTCTTTATTTTTTTTTGTGGAAATAAGTAATGTTTATCTTTCCAACAAGCAAGCGTTGCCAACAACCCTATAAACAACAATTTCGTTAATCTTGTCATTTTAAGCAAAAAGAACAAAGAAAATCTAATCTAAATCTAATCTAATCTAAACTGTTATCAATAAACACTAATCAAGGTTTCAAAATTACTAGCATTATGTTTATGTCACTTGTGACATTTTTAGGGTTTTTACGACCGAAAGTCTAAAATTGAACTCATACATTTCTCAGCCTAAGGCGTGAAGCAATATGTCTAGCCGTCTTTCCCATTTCAAAATATATTCTCATAGKTTGCTACAAATATAATATTTGAAGGATAAAAAAGTCAACGGTCGTTTACTTACGATAAAATCCGCTTATAGATTCAATTGTCCAAATGAAAGATAAAAGAATGCCTATCAAATGACGACACATTCTAAACGTGCAATCTACAGCATTGCAAAAATCGACGTTAACGTGGCATTGACGGTAAGAGTACTGCACATTTTAATATCAGGTGGCTATTGGCACAACTTCAAAATATTCTCATTTTAAATATGAATATGTCAATAATTTAACAACAGATTTTTATCAAGTAATGATTGGTCGTCTTGCAAAGAATCCTCTTAATAAATTAAATGCAAACTTTGCTGGGCTTATTACCGTTTCCAGTCCGAAGGCCTTCATGCGACACGGTTATAAAATGCAGCGACTTTTTTCCACGTCGAAGTCTAGCAATGACAAGGGACACAGAGTTCTAAGGTTCGAWCCTCGACTCTAGCACGTCTTTCTTTTTTCGTTCATTCTCTCTTTCTTTATTTTAATTGAAATGTAGGTATTTTAGTCATTGATTTTTATCGTAGCAATTTGTTTTATTAATATTTATGAGCTGCGTTTGTTAAATTTTAGAAACAAGATGATACTCGAACAGCGGCGTCGAACAGAGGATCGCGGGTTCGAATCTCGTCTCGAGCAGGTTTTTTTCTTTCTTTTCAAATAATAATATAGATGTTGTCATCTTGATTTTCTGTAGATTTTGTTTACGGAGTGTCTAAACGTCAGGGTTTAGTTCCAGAACTAAACACAGTCAGTCAGTTGAATTTTTTTTTGAAAAATCGTCAGAACAACAGTAATTTCAATCAATACAACAAGAGAAATGCAATTAAGACCGAAAAATGATACTGTTTGACAAGTAAGTTTGACAAGTTTGTATACACAAGCACGCGGCGGCTTTGAGATTTCTCGACTGTCTGACGTTTAGGCCTAAAACTAAACGTTTAGTTCACTGGGACTAAACGTCAGGCAGTCGAAAAATCTCAAAGTGCCGTGCTTGTGTTACAAACTTGTCGAACAGTATTATTTTGGTGTTTATTGTGTTTAACTTGTTTTTCTCTCGAAACGCTCCATTACATGTCACTTTCGAATCCAAACACATTTACAAGAGAAAATTCGTTACATAATTAATTATATTATGTGGTTAAAAAGGATGTTGCTGACATATTGCTACTAACAGCTGTTGCAAGTATTGAAATATTCTTCGATTATTCCAATAAATATACCATCGTCGATATATCTTAAGCTAAGGGCTTTATATTATACATGCTGCGCTCGGTACGTGCTGTCAAGACATCGGTCTTATAGTTTCCCGTACAGACCTTGCGCTCGGTTAATAACCTCTTAATAATTGATTTGAGTTTTTTATCATATATATGTTTTTTATATTTTTTTATTTATTTTTATTTGTTTATTTCTTTTTTATTATTATCATTATTATTATATGATGCTTATCTTTCAAACGAGCAGGTATCGTAACGACCCTATAAAAAACAATTTTTAATCTTGGCATCAATAAACACTAATCAATTTTTAAAATTACATCTGTTACGAGCATTATGTTTATGTCACTTCTGAATTTTTTAGAGTTTTTGCGAACGAAAGTCTAAAATTGTATTCATACATTTCTCAATCTAAGGCGTGAAGCAATATGTCTAGCCGTCTTTCCAATTTCAAAATATATTCTCATAGTTTGCTACAAATATAACATTTGAAGGATAACAAAGTCAACGGTCGTTTACTTACGATAAAGTCCGCTTATAGATTCAATTGTCCATATGAAAGATAAAAGAATGCCTATCAAATGACGACACATTTTAAACGTGCAATCTACAGCATTGCAAAAATCGACGTTAACGTTGCATTGACGGTAAGAGTACTGCACATGTTAAAATCAGGTGGCTATTGGCACAACTTCAAAAKATTTCCATTTTAAATATGATATGTCAATAGTTTAACAACAGATTTTTATCGAGTAATGATTGGTCGTCTTGCAAAGAGTCCTCGTAATAAATGCAAACTCTGCTGGGCTTATTTGAAATTTAAATGACTGCAAGACCCGCAATGTGATGTTTTTCAGTGTCGTTTTAAGAATTGCTATGTACATTTTGAAATGCTCATAGTTACGCTTGTTGTGTCTGATTAAATGTTTACAGCAAACGCTTGAATCTTTTCTGTTCTTTTTCTGTTGCTGCTGTTGCTCGTTTGTTTATTTATTCTTTTYTTTTATGATATATTTTTTCTTGTTTTGTAAGCTTTGAAATACATCGAAATGCTCCATTATATGTCACTTTGCAAATCCAAACACATTTACAAGAGAAGATTCGTCACCTAATTAATTATGTCATGTGGTTAAGAGGAAGCTGCTGACATATTGCTACTAGAGTAGAAACACTAAAACTGTGCAATACAACTAAATACTGCTAAATTATGCTTATTCTATGGTTTTCTATTGTTTAATTAATTCTATTTTGTAGTAAATAGTGGAAGGTATTGCACACATTTCATGTCTGTACTGTGACAGTTCTTGCAAGTATTGAATTTAAATTGTGTGYCCTTTTTGCTGTAGTTTGATTGGTTAACCACAAACAATCCTTTAATGTGATTGGTTGCCTTTTACTTTTTTTGCATTGTGATTGGGTCCTCAAAGGAGTGCGATTAAGAATTAAAAATGGTGCGATTTAGGCTGAAATCAACCTGCTAAGAACCAATCAGATTGCAGGATTCATTTGTGATTTCAAAATGGATATAATTAAGCCAGATAACATATGTGTTTAATTTCCTTGATTATGAGATTTCCTGAGAACGAGGCTTTTCTAAACAACATCATGGATTTGACTTGTTCCTTCCAGAAGTTAACACCGGTGGTGTTTGTGCCGCGGATGCGAGATATCAACGAGAAGTAGTTATTCCTCTAACGTCTTGTGAAAAAGACATTACAATTCACATTCGCAATGCTGGAGTGACCGATATACAGTCGAAGATTAAGCTTATCTGTGCTCGCGCTTCAAAATTCCACGGGATATATCTTCATGGACCATTTGTCCAGAGCATCGCTCCTCTCTGGGAACTGATGCCGAGTTCCTGGAGGAATATCAGTTCAAGGCTCAAAAGGAAAACCAAGAAAAGCCAGCAGTGGGATTAAGCAATGTGATATGGAACAAAAATGACAGACAGGTAAATGCGATAAATTAACGATTAGCTKCTAATTTTCAGGACTATGACTGCCAAACCAAAAGTACCCCTATTACACCAGGAGGGAGTTTTTATGTTMCATCGGTTGAAGACGTCTCGAGCGATATCAGCTTTACCATAGAAAATCTCCAAAGCAGCCCCTTTGAAAGTATGAACAGCTACTTAGTATCCCGCGATGTTAGTCCTATAAGCGAAAGAACAAAGCGATACTATACACGTAAAGCTGGACAAAGTGTGGCTGCAGTTGTAAAGGACATAGCTCCAGCTGAGAGAGAACCGCTTTATCATGCACTGTGCACATCGAATGTTCTGCGTAAAGAGTTATCCAGTGATGAAKATACTGAAGGAGAGACTGTTGATGAGACGCTAATGGATGCTCTTTCCGTGTGTTATCGGGAGGCAAGCCATTGGGAGACGCGGCGTCAAATACTTTCGACCATGGCCGACAAGGTGCGTTACAGAAAAACCTCCCACATTATATAAGATCTTCCATTTGGTGAACGATCCCTAACACTCAGCAACAAAGACAAGATAAAGATCCCAAACGTTATAAGAACCATGGTTCCTTAGAGAATAGTCAAACAGTACCAGGCGTACTACACCGACTGTGGATTCGAATCATTGAGTAGAAGTACGCTCTTGCGTATCCTTGCAGTTTGTCCGGAATCGACCCGCAAATCCCTCCAGGGCCTAGATTATGTAACATCAGCTGGTACGCAAGCATTTAAATACTTAACTGACGTAGTAGAACCACTTGGAGATGCAAGCAATAAAAGGGATGGGCGAAGGATATGCAGATCCGACTTCAAGCTGYAAAGCGCTATCTCAAGAGTGACTACAAGGTATTTTTTTATTTTATCAGATTTTACAATCGATTTTGTGAGAATATCATCTCATCGCGATCAGTTAGTATCTAGTGTCTGTGAAATAGAAACAGCCCTTACCACCCAAGCTGGCAATTTGCTACCCAGTGTCAACGAAGAACTCACATTCACTGTAAATCAAGCGAAAGCAAATATTTTTGCCTGGAAGTCTCATATACTAAGATATATATACACCAAGATAAGGCTAGAATTGACGCACTGGAGACGCTCGATGAGTCCTCAGTGCTAGTAGTACAGGACTGGGCGATGACGTATCTGCCAAGGAAATACCGCGAGAGTCAAACCGATTGGTTTTGGGAAACGCGGTATCAGGCATTCAGGAAGGTCAGCAACCAGCTTCAAATGCTAACCTTTGTCCGCATATTCCAGGCTTGTAGTCAGGACCTCTACTCTGTAATAGCGATAATGGCAGATGTTATCAAGCAGTTAAAGAATGTCATGCCGAGCCTGAAGACTGTCAACTACAGGCAGGACAATGCCGGCTGCTATCACAGCGAAGCTACCAYCATATGTRCCGGCAAAATAGGGGAAAGAGCTTGGTTTACAAATAAAACGGCTGGATTAATCCGACCCTCAAGGCGGAAAGGGTGCGTGCGACCGCAAGGCRGCAACGATCAAAGCGCACATGCAGCTGCACCTCAACTCAGGACACGATATTGAAACGCCTGCACAGATGCGTGAGGTCATGCTATCCTCTGGTGGAATACCATCTTTAAGCGTCACCCTATGCGAGTCTGTCTCCATACCTACAATGCCAACCTACAAGCTCGACGGAGTGAGCACTATCTATAATGTTGAATTTCAGAAGAAAGGAATGCGTGTATGGAAGGCCTATGGCGTGGGGACTGGACGACTTAGAGTTGAGAAATGTTCTTCAGACACCTTGCCGTCCATTGTAATACTTCAGTCAGAACCAAGTGAATTCTCAGATGTAAAGAAACGAGCGCACACAAAGAAAAGACGTAGATACAGACAAAATCACAGATGAAGATGTAGAAGACAGTGACAAAGAACCATCATCAAGTGATGGTGCTTTATTCACCTGCCCCGAGGAAAGTTGTACCAAAACTTTCTTAAGCCACTCTTCCATGATAAAGCACCTAGATTGTGGGAAACTTAAGCGTACACTAGAGCGGGAAATACTTTTCGACAAGGCCGCTCTTCAATATGCGGAACAGCTAGAAGGGCAAGCAACAATGCTACCACAAATCGCATTGGTCAGCATTCAAACAAGCGACTTAAACAGAAGAACAAGGGGATGGGGGCTAAAATCTAGTGGATCTGAAAGAGCCAGGTTCACTGAAGAGCAGAAATCCTATCTCACTGCGAAGTTTAGAAATGGCGAGAAAACAGGGTTAAAGGCTGATCCTACTGCAGTCGCTCGAGCAATGATGCGCGCCAAAGACCCAAATGGCAGCTTGCTCTTCACAAGCAAGGATTTCTTGACTGCTAAACAGATTTCAGGCTTTTTCTCTCGTCTTGTTGCTAAGAAAACGCTCAAAGAAGGGGAGCTTCTGCGAAAAGAAGACGTCGAGGTGGCCGCACATGAAAAACAGCTGGAAGCAATAATACTTGAAGCTGGAAGAGAATTTGCCGAAAAACACCCCATTGTTTATGACAGCTACAATTTGTGCGAACTTGCCTCCCAAAGAAAGCTGAACAAATTTTCTCGTCTTGTTTTGAACAATATTTGCACGTCACTTGGAATTGACGTTTCAGATATCAAAGGCAAACGAGTGAAGAAGCCTTTTATCAGCAGGCTGGAGGCACTTCGTCGGGAATGTGAATGTCAGCAGTGAGACTTGAATTAACGCAGCGCTCGATCTAGACAGAAAAATCTAGAGCGAGGTCGGGAAGTACAGACCAAGTGCTGCTGTCTAGTATTGGAAAAAGATCGACAACCAATCGCATCACCCTATTCAGTCTAGTCCGAGTCCTAGGGGACCATCCATTTTCGAATTGAGTGCATATTTTGCTCGGTGATAGTGGACATTCGCTCTTAAGCATGGTGTTCACGGCAAACTGCAAACGGCAGAAAAGATCACTTGAACTGCTTTTTGGGGTTTTACCGTTACAGTTTCAACGCGAGAGTGAATTATTTTGAGTTTGCCATACCCGTGAAAAGTCGCTCTTTCCAATGACTACCTAAAGCATAAGGCACGAAATTCTTAGGTCATTGGTTCAGCTCTGCCGTTTGCCGTAAACGTGATGCGTTAAACTCTCTAATAACAACAAAATAGCGAGAGATATCAACCATCAGATATTTCTAAAGAGATGTATAAAGCACCAGGTCACACCAAAAGCTTTTCGATTAACGTACAAAAGTCTACCTGATGTAATGATATGTAAATCGTGAGCTGTAATGATATGTTAATCGTGAGCATGCGCGTGAGTCGATATATGCCTCGGCATCAGCAGCAGTGTAGATCAGTGTTTGTAATAAAAGCGTACAAGAAAACCACTCGAGATTATTACATGGCACATGTATCAGGAATAATACGATTGCTCTCAGTGTCGTTGACGCTTCGAAAATGCAATGGATTGGTGACAATCTTCGTGAAAATTGGAGGCGCTTCAAACAGCATGCCGAGCTCATGTTTACAGGTCCTCTTAAAAGCCGTTCAGAAGCAGAGAAGTGCAGTTATTTACTAATATGGAGTGGTCAGGAAGGCCGAGACATATTCAACACATGGCAAGGCTTAACAGAAGATGACAAGGTAAAACTGCAAACTTATTATACTAAGTTGGAACAACATGTCAGTCCAAAGTCCAGCCCTATATTTGCTAGATACAAATTTCACCAGAAAATTCAAGCACTCGATGAATCTGTTGAGAAATTTACTATCCTCGCTCAAGATTGTGAATTTACTAATAACGATGATATGATTCGGGACAGACTCGTATTGGGCACGAATTCAAGGAAAATCAGAGARAAACTCTTCGATGAAGGAGCAAAACTCACCYTAGAAAAAGCAAKCACCATCTCTARATCACACGAGATATCCCAAGCGCAGCTACGTATCAAAGAATTGTATGCCATTCGTGCGGGATCCCTGTGCTTTTACCTTTGAGCTTCCTTTAGCGAATCCATGCCATATATGGGAACAAACGAAATGGCCGATTGTTGAAAAGTGTTTTGGTATTATATCTGMAAGTTTCAGACGATTTCATGCTTTAAAATTCGAGAAAATCGCCAAAAGCCTGTCTTATTGTACTTCCAAATAAGGAAAGATTACCATATATGGCTGGTAAACGAAGGACAAGTTTTCTGGGGCAATTCTTTGACATGAACGTCATGAACTATCCCATAAACGAGGAAAAAGTAAACATTATTTCTCAATCCAAGATCAGAGAAATAAACAACAAAAAACATGGCAGACCGACACAGGGAACCCAACGACAAACTTCAAAACCTTCACAGGGTATAGCCACCGTCAAAATCAAAGTCAAGCGAGTACGTTGCGAGAATTGTGGTCGCCAACACAGCAAATCTGATACATGTCCAGCCAAGGGACAAACCTGTAATTACTACAAGAAAAATGGACACTATACATTCAATTACGTAGAAAAAGAATGCGATCACAACAAAACATCCACGGCATCCAGAACACTTCCCCATCACTGGGAGAAGACTGGGAAACACTCTCGTTTGAATCCATCTGCATTGGAAACATGAAAGAAAAGAAAACAATGCAGTCCGTAAAGAAGAAGTGTTTGCCACCGTCAATATTGACAACCGGAAGAGAGAAAGACAAGACAACTCTGACAGCAAAAATCGACACAGGTGCACAGGGAAACGTGCTACCTCTTCGAATCTACCAACAGATGCACCCTCAGAATATCGATGCAAACGGTAAACCAAAACA